GTTGAGTCGCATGGCACCATGGGCCCTCTTTCTCGCCTATGCGGTGCGGTGCGGTGCTATGCTGCGCTTCGCTGGACGGGAGACTATACGTAAGGTATTCGTATGTGCAGTCCATAAATGAGGTGGCTACCGAGAAGCGTTGCAAACTTAAAGTGTTGCAAAGAGGTGGAATAGCCAATGTGGATGCGTGCCTAAAGGTACGGTAGGTACCTGTATCCCACGAGGTACCTTGGGAAGGTGCAGTCCTGTATGGATACAAGCATTCTTGGAGCAGTCATGCTTCAAGTTCCTCCATTGGGATAACAGGTACGGCACTGTACATGCCTCCGGAAGGTAATGGATGGATGACTGCTGTCCAGAGCGGATGGCCACGGTAGGTGGTAATCGACCCGGTGGCCGCATAGATTGGTTGACGCGGGTGTGAGCGCAGATGCTTCTCGAGACGACCGTTTTGGCCTCTCGGTGTTGTCGACATGAACTTTTTGGGCTCTTTCCCCAGCTGCTTTGGGGGTGATCGCCAAGTGGATCCGCCCTTGGCGAGCGGGAAAGCACACTACCGCAACCTGGCTTGGTCTGTGCGCATGCTTGTGGACCGGCCTGGAATGGAAGGTTGGGCTTCTGTTCTGCAGCAGCCGTTAGGGGATCCCTGACGCCACTCTCCCCATCCCCCCTCCTCCTCAAGCGGGCATCATCCCACCACTAGCACTGACGATTGCCTTTCTCGCCTACAGTGCATCTTCACACGGTAATCTAGGTTAGGACGTTGAACGGCAAGAGCCCACCCGCAGCCCCCCAAGCTCAAGCAAGCAAGCTATATCGAGTATTTCTCCGCCGCCAGCTAAGAGGATATGGAATGCCCGTGCGAGGCCGCCACGGCCTGAGTTGACTTCCATGATATTATTATTATTGATGTCGGCCAGCGACCTTCCTCGAGCGGTAGGGAGCTGGAAAGGACCCCCGCCGGTATGGAATTGGCCCTGATTGTCGCGCGGGGATCAGGGCAGCGCCAGTCACGGGGCTTCCGGGCAGCTCCCCATGCCATGCCGAGCTATCCCGTCCACCTATTCTTAGACGTCGGACTGGCGTGCTGCCATATTCTGGGTATCCAACTTACTTAGTCCGGCTCCAGATCGCAACGAGATCGACTGTCCCTTGCCCGAACCAAGATGGGAGCCGCTGTGACTTGCAGCGCGCCGGCGCAGAACCCCTCGGGGATCCGCTACCTGCCTCCCTTCCTGTCCCGCGGACGGTTTGTTCAGGTCCTCGAGTGCCCGCATCCATCACGGGTGTAAGTCCCAAAGTGTACTCGTGCAGAGGAGGCCGGCAGCGCATGCTTTGCGTGATTGGGCACGCAGCAATATGCCAAACCTACTATGTGCAGGTTACACGAGTTATAGCCTCAACCAGCAAGGATGTTGCCGATGGAGGCCAGTTGACTGTTGGTCGCAACACGTCCAAGACGGACTTTCAGCGCGCACTTCTTACCCTGCCCCAACCCTGAATTTCACACACGAGGCTCGCCAGAGTGGCCAGGACGAGATGGTTACAGAGGATCTGCGGCAACCGTCATCTGCCCAACCATGACAGCTGTCGACAGATAGCCCCCTCACCTGGCCCGTCGAATAGGAATCCCTCCTAATACCCCGTCTCCATCACCCCCCCTCCTCCGTTTCCTGTTCGCGCTCTGTTCAGGGTGTGGCCGTTGAGCGGCTGTCTCAAGGCATTGCAGAAAGAAACCTAGCTCGGCCTAGACGAGGAGGTGTGGATGGTAGTAGGCGGCGGGTACAGGTGAGGGGCTTGCAGAGGGAGCGGAGATGGTGCTAGCTATACCGGGAAATTATAGTAGGACCTGGCATAGCCATTTAAATATGCCAGGGATGGCGGCGGGAGGTTGATGGCAATATAAACCGAACACCATCTTGTGACTTCTTGGGATGGTGCACCTGCTGTCAAGCCGCAGATGCAGTGAGGAATGGCCCATGAAGCAATGGCCATCATGCCATGCTTTAAAAGTTCCTAGCCAAATCCGTGCCAACCTCTTCGTACACGATGCCTGACCGGCGAGGTAGTTCGCTAATTGAGCAGCTCGCCGAGCTCCTCTACAGGTGAGATTCTGCCTTTGATAGCAAAAAGGGTCTTGAATGTATTCATGTGCACGTAAGCACGATATCATTTCGTCCTTGCCTTACCTGAAGTGGTCGGAAAAAATACCCATCCTCCATATCAACGGAGGGTAAATACCTGCCTAGGTAGTCAGGTAGTCAGGGAGTCGAGAGGTACAAAGTAGCGATCTCCATGACATCTCTTCGTGTTTCGGATCAGCAAGGTAGTCAAAGTCTAGGTGGGTGGATGGCACCATCTCCGCAACTTGTCAGGCAGACATTTACACTGAATTACCTGACCAGAACGAATAGAACTGTGCACGACTAAGTCCCCGGGCTGCCCGTTCAAGGCCGGCCTCCTGTAACAAAGCAGGTAGGGTGAACCCCGCGATCAGCCTTAGAGCAACGAAAGGCGCCCCACGCGGGTTGCTTTTGGCGGGATGAGCTGCAAGCAAGACCGAGCTACCTTACCTCCGTACACGCACAGTACCCAAGCTATCCCTGAATGTGGGCATTGAAGGGCCTGGACATGGGACGGCTCGACGACTCCAAAAAAGATTCCGGGTTTGACACAAAGAGACATGGACACGCACCGCTGCTGCACAGCTGCTGCCTCGGACACCTCCGCCCCCACCCCACCAGCTGCACATTGGCAGCTGCCACTGGTAGGTAACCCCGGTAAAGCCTTACTAGGATAGCCCCTGGTCCAGTTCCGCCTTCCGCTTTGCACAGAAGGCGCGGCACACAGACACCTGCCGGCGACGGCGACGTGTCCTGCGCGCGCACTGTCTTTTCTCTCCCTCGCGTCTATCGTGATTCGCACGACAGACAGGGTCGGTCATACTGCAGATTACCCTAGTGTCTGGCTGTAGATACTACATGCAGTACCAAAGGTAGGTACCTCTCGGAGACTCGGGGGTCGGATGCCTAGTAGGAAGGTCAGGGTGTGTGGCCCCAGCTAGGTGAGCTCGCAAGTAAGAGCTGAGGTCCTCTTGCTCCTCTGCTTGTCACGGAATCGCGTCTGTGAGCGAGCGGTCTAAGGTGGGGCAGCGCGGTCGTCGTCTGACTGCAGGTGCTTCAATTGCTTGGATGGGGAGAGGCGACAATGGAAGCTCAGCCTTAACCAGATACCTTATTTGTTCCATGAGGTTATGAGAAGGACCGTGAAATTTCGCCAGAACTAAGGAGCCGTTCCTTCCGAAAATAACAAGATTAGATGCTTCGCAAGCTGCTGAGGGTGCCCTGGCAAGAGCGACCCGACCAGAAAGCTCAAGAAGCTTCGAGTCGAATACCTTCCTCCACGAGTCTGCCACATCCCACCTCTACGGCACAGCTTCTGCCGCTTTCCAATCCCATCACAGGGTCGAGTCCGTGCAGAGTCGAGACTTTCACCACAGCAAAAATTGTGCGGCAAGTATCCGTACCTTTGATTTTTCTAACGCTCCTCCTGCTGGGCTGACGGGTTGCGGAACCGAAGCCATGGCTCTTGACCCTCTATGCACCGAGTTCCAGAAAGCATCCTTCTTCAATCCGGAACACGCTCATTCCCATAGCGTTTGCCGAACTTTATAGACGCAAGGTACCTCGACTTTTCTCTCGAGCACGTCATTCCCAGGTGAGATAAGGGCCTATCTACAAAGTATTACCGAGTAGAGCCCCATACCTTACAGCACCTTAACCTAGGTAAGGTCGAGGCGCAGGTCTTAGGGAGGTACGAACAGTGTACCCGGGCATCGATGAGCATCGGAGAAAGGTCAACTAAGATACCAAGGTCCCTCCCCTCTCGGAATAGAGCGTCGTGAATTGCAGCCAGAACGTGAGGTAACGAAGATTGTTGCGGCTGAGTTAATGCCAAGCCTTTCTCATTGCAGTGCAGGTTCGATATTTACAAGGAATATTCTTTACCATAACAGGGCAAGGTAAGATGCCCAGGGATGATTGCACGGAGGATTGCACATCTATAGATTCTCAACCAGGCCCCGAACTCGGGCACCAGATGCACCGATGGTGATTTGCGGGTATGAGAGGAAGGCAGTGGAGGTATTCGAATGTACAAAGCTACCTAATAATTACCACAGTGCACACGCTAAAAACTTAACTGACGGAGTAAGGTTGGCCAAGGTTTTCTGAAGAAGTGCCTGCCTCGTTCAATCACCAGGTTCCAGGTTCTCCACACGCACCACGATCTCCAACGCTGGCATCCATCCACATCCAATGCATTGGATCAACTCAACCACGAAATCGATATACTTTAGCTACTAGAGTTTCCGTGCTGCATTCGGTTTCACCTCATAGGCCCCGGTCCCCAGGCATATATCGTGTAGAAGAAGGTCTTGGCCCCCAGTTCCAATCTCAAAAGGTGGATTTCAATCCGTCAGCCGCTCTTTAAGACAACGACACGCGCACCATCACCCCTCTTCAGACCACAGAATCGGACAGCGTCTCAGCAGTCGCCCCTCATCAAGCCTGGCCTAAACCTACTACCAGCTGCTCTCACCCACGCGCAACCACAACCATCACTTCCGCCTCGACTGTCACGCCCCCGCCAACGCCGACGTCTCGCAGGTCTGCCCGGTTCGAGAACGCACCCAACCTAGCCCGTTACCGTCGCTGCTGGACACAGGGACGACAAGTTTTGGATAGTGATCCGCAGTGTTGCGACCATCCGCCTTAGCTCCGAAAGACTTCATCGCCGTTGCGTTGCCGTCGTGCGCCCAGAGCTCAGGCGAACGCCAACTTTTTTTAGCGCCTATATCGAGACAGTAGTGTTGTGAGCGACACCGCGGGAAAGAGTGAGAGAGGGTCAAGATGCATCAGTCGCCCTACCCTCCTTCCCAGGCACACGCTCTGCCTTCCGACCTCCACTCGCTCCCTCACCCAGCTCCCTACCCTCAACAAATGCAGCAGCAGCAGCAGCAGCAGCAGCAGCAGCCGCAGCAGCAACAGCAGCCGCCGCCGCCGCTGCCGTCTATTCCGCCCCTAAGCGCGCAATACCAAGACAACGGCCTGCAGCTATCGGTCGCCGGAGCACCGGCCCCAGGTCAGCCCGTCGATGGGTCCCAGCCGCCGACACCCCAGGCTCAAGACCGGGCCCCGCTCACCGCGGAGCAAAAAAGGCAACAGGACCTTAACTTGCAGCCGTACTCGTCTGTCGACCCGCAAGGGCGCCTATATTCGTAAGCCTATTCCACCCCTACATCTCTCTCTAGTGCCTCCTAGTTGCTTGTTTCGTGCTGTCTCCTTAGTTGCGACTAGTCTTGTTAGTGTGAGAGAGAGAAGAAACGCCGGTTCAAAGTCGTTGCGTTGTCATGTCTATCAATAATATGTGGCGTGCACCCGCTAGTCACTGATGCTGGAGCTAATCCCGAATTTACGACAGTCTGGATGTCGTGCAACAGCCACAACGTGCCCGGATGTGCGGTTTTGGTGACAAGGTATGCTTTAGCTGGGACGGGCGAGCTAAAGCCTCCTCGCCCCTTTCTTTAGTTCCTGCGATGGACAACCCAGCTCACAGATGAACAGGACCGTAGGCCCATTACGCCACCTCCCTGTGTGAGGCTGGTCGTCAGGGACAGCAAGACTGGCAAGGAAATTGACTGCAAGTGAGTTTTTATTTCCCTATTGTTTAATAAGCCACCAGTGAGTTTCCGTGGCTCTTGCTGATATGGCCGTCTTCAAAGTGAGATCGAACATACTATGTATGTCCTCAATGTGGATCTTTGGTCCGATGATGCCTTGAAGGAAGTCAACTTGGTTCGCCACACAACAGCCACCCCTTCCATCTCATCGACGACCCCTGCATCGTATGCTGCAATTGAGCAGTCTACGCCTGCATATTCCCACATCCTGCCCTCATCGACTCGCGATGTCGGATATCCCCAGCAAATGTCCTATCAAAATCCCGGTCCCCAGGTAAACCATTACGCCATGCAGCCAGGACCATACGGAGGAGGTAGATACTTCCCTGTCCTGCATTCCATGCTATCCCACGCCTTTCGTTCCCTCATATTGCTATTCGGCCGTTACTCTACTGACCATGGTCACAAGGTGGCTTTGTTTCGCCTAATGGCGGAGGCTACACGCAACCGAACCCGTACTACGCCCAGGACTTCCGCCCCGATCTGCAAAACATGCCCCAGCTAGCATCCCAAAACAATACGTACGGTCCTCCGCGCGTCTACGACGCCCCGTTCAACATGACACAGCGTCTTTCCATCGGTGGCAACCAGCCCCAGGGAATGTTCACACGAAACCTTATTGGCAGCCTGGCCGCAAGTGCCTTCCGCCTTACCGATACCGAAGACAAGATCGGCATCTGGTTCATCTTGCAAGACCTCAGCGTGAGAACAGAGGGCAACTTTAGGTAAATATTTTGGCCTGCCTTTTTTTCGTTCTTTTTTCTTGCTCTTTGTCTTATGGCTTTGGCCATACTAACGAAGTTCGAACAGGCTTCGCTTCTCCTTTGTTAACGTCGGGATCCCGCCTCCAGGACCGGGGCACCTTACCCAAGGCATTAACACAGGCAAGGCGCCTGTGCTAGCATCTGCCTTCAGCGAAGTTTTCCAGGTTTTTTCTGCCAAGAAATTCCCAGGCGTCTGCGAAAGCACACCGCTCAGCAAATGCTTTGCCACGCAGGGCATCAAGATTCCGATAAGGAAAGAGGGCGCGAATAGCAAGGGGAACAATGACGATGACGATTACGAATAGAAGCCGCTTTCGTTGTTATTCGCATTATTCTCGTGAGACTCGGAGCTATCTATATCCGGGGGACTACGAGGCTTTCTTCGAAGGCTTTCTTCGGGCACACCCTGCCTGGCACCGGCGAGGAATTGACGCCTAGCCCTTGTTGGATGGCCTGAGTAATTCTCATGATATGGCGAGATCTATGGACGATGCTGTATTTTGATGACCAGGTTTCGAACACTACGATCACCACCGCCTCCCGTCTGTTTCCTAGGGTGGCCATGTTCTACATTCCATTACCCTGGCCCTCTTGTCATTGTCCAACCCATTATCGCTCCTCTCTCCTCCCCTTCACATGGTTTAAGCTTCGGACAGCGGCGACGGAAAACGAATGGACAGAAGCGGCTGCCAGTATTAAGGCGTGTTTTTGGGTGTGTGGGTGGCGGCTTCTGTTTTTGGTTTTCTTTTCTTCTTCGTTTTGTTATCTTATCGACGCCCTTTCTTTTTGGGAAAAAAGTACGTTAAAACTTTTATTGATACCACTTGAGCTGGATCATGAAAGCAGGCAGGCGACAAAGTATGGCTTTTGAACCGAATTACACATGCAGGCACCTATTCTCTCTTTGGTATTCACAGTTGCTTAGGGAAGACTATAGGAATTTTTGGTGGGTAGAAGGATAGGTAGACAAGAGGGTACATAACTCCCGAGTAGATCGATCGTATCGATATGGATTCTTTTTCTTTCTCTCTTGTGTCTCGTTTCTTGCACAGCCTGCTTCTCTCCATTCCGTTCACCTTCAAATGCAGGGCCACTAGGTAATTTTCAAGCAGCATTCGACAGTTTAAAAGGCCCGCATGGTCTGGTCGCTCCTTGAAACTCCCGAGTGTTACTTCTGGTGTTGCTAAGACTCTAAGACCACTACCCCTGGATAGAATGACACTCTACATATCATGCCCCCTATAGCACCGTCGTATGGGTAGCACGGTAACATAAAAGGCGTGTGCTCGGCGAGCGACTGCCTAATGGAACCGGGTTCTTTTGTTACATGTATCGCGTATTAAGAGGGAATGGGTGTGTTGGGAGGGCGAGTGCTATGCCAAGGCACCTTGCCACTCAGCTTACATGCCAGCACATACTACCTCTGGTAGCAAAGCAGGTCCCTTCCCGGAAGCGGACTAAAACGTGCCGGAGCGGGACTGGAGATCCGAAGATATCATTTCGAGGTCCAGTACCACTCACGGCCCTAGCCCTGCCCTGCGAGACATCCGTGGCGTCACACTGCAACTGCAACTGCGACTGCACGTAATAAGACCCGACATGCCCAGCCAAAGGGGGGTTTTGCCTCATTAGCGCCAAGGGAAATCTAGTCCTCTTTTTTCCTGCCCTTGTGCGTGACGTGCAGCACATCACGTACGTACATACATGAATGCGTGTGGTTGTGAGCGTGCACGTCTTTCTAAGCGGCGAAAGCAGACGGCCCGGCATATGGCTGTCTGTTTTTCTAGGTATGTATACAAGTCCGTGCCGCATCCTAAGATAGAATATATGGGTATCAAGAGTGAGTGGGAGACGAATTTGAGATGGGGAGATGGTGCGGGGGTTGCGTGTGGGCTGCACTATATATAAATAAAGCGGAAAAGGGAGAGAGAATAAAATAAAAAAGAATTCTCCGGGGTGCATATGTCGGGGATTATTTAATTCTCGTGGTGCGTCCGTCCGAGACTCTGGTTCGGGTCTGGCCCCCCCCCCTCCATCCATCCTCCCACACAATACACACACCTCCATAGGCATGCAAGCAAGCAACATTTTGTCTATATATAACGGTGTCCCATGCCATCCCACGCCTCACCCACCCCCACCCCCACCCCCACTTTTTTTTCTCCCCTTACGGGTGCATTCTTCTTCGTCTTTCTTCCTTCTCACAGGAGGGGACCGTGTGATATGTGTTTCTCTCTTGCAGATTTGGGGGCGATTTTGTTGATGGCTTATCGTATGATTGGCTGCTGTGGTAACAGTTCTGTACAGAAAAAAAATAAAAAGAAGCCCATCACACACAGAGAGAAAAGGAGACTCGGAGATGGTTTGGAGTTTATATTTAGTCCCAGTTTTCTGAACAAGACTCACTCGCAGGCGTACAACGATAAGACATGTCTAGTAATAATAATACATAGATGGAAGCGAGCCAGATATGACGGTGGATGATGGATGACAGGGCCCGTCCAGTCGGGGCGTCCTCTCCCATCCCCTCCTCGCCTCCCTCCTGCAGTGTAACCACCTAGGTATGTACCCAAGCTGCCTCTGTCTGATACAACTCTAGCTCTGTAGAGTGCTGGGGACTGGTTACGACGCTGCCGAAATTTCATTTGGGAAGAGGGACCTACGGCGCATGTCGAGTTGTAGACATTAGTAGTACCTAGCTAGCACTCTGGTCAAGTTCTAACGTGCGGATGGACGCTCGGGTAATGTCGAAGTCAGTCAATCGAGGAAGTATTTTAGACTATACTAGTCTAAAGGATAGGTACCCATCTCAGACATTCCTCTGCAGTGGTCTAGGTGGGCGAGATATCGGACTTTGAAAGACCAAAGAGTTCAAAATACGTATTCGACTCGCACGAGACGCGTCTGCAATGATAGCATTGCCGCAAAAATCCATTCAGAGTCTCCTTGGCTTTGTCGCAACAGTCAAGCTACGATTGAAGTGAAAGTACAAGGCGTCTCCAGACGATAGCAAATACCTAGACGTAAAAGCTCGTTGTCAACGCCTCCACAGACCCATCGAACAGCTAATACTCTGTTTATCGCTCGGGAAATATTGAACTGCCCAGTCGACAAGTTTCCCAGGACCCGTGTAGAGGGCGCACCATAGTCGTATGTGGACACTCTTAGGGGACTCGAATTCAGAGTCGACTGTTACAACATACCCGAGTAGGACGCTTCCAGCTCTTAGACCTGCTTTTGAAGCTCTCGGAGAAGTAATGACACCATAGCTTCGATCACTCCTCGCGCACTTTCCAGTCCTAACCGTAATCTGGAACGCGATAGAGGCTCAAGCAGGACTCAGCCTATATGGCACCGACAGCCATTATTAGGAGTGCCACCAAACATCTCACCCACGGCCAAACAGGCTTGTTGTCTAGTTTAAGGGTCAAAGCAACGATGCCTCCCCAAAAGAGTGAATGGCAAACCATAAAAACCACCATCTTATCATGAATACGTTGCTCTGCAAGACCTGGAGGCGGGTTGGCCCAGGGGAGAAGAATCCGAACCAGTCAGAGATGCTGATGCGTGACTAGACTAGCCCCGGGTAGCAAGGGCAACATGATGAATTGGACTGGGACGGCCGTCGACTACGTCGTCACCGAAGAGATTCTTGAGACCAGCGAAGATATCACTGGCTGTTGCGAGACATGGCGAAGTTTGCCTCTGGTCAAATGTCTGTCAGCCGCTCTTCGTTGATAGAACAGGAATTGGAAACGCTTACATTTTTGGCCTCCTCAACACCCTTTCTCTCTTCCGCGAAGTCAATAGGTAGGGTACTAAGGAAGGCGAGGTTCGGGAGTTTGTTGATAGGTTAGCAAGGGTGACGTAGATAACCCTTTCTTGAGCAGCGAGTTTGGGCATCAAAGCCACTATACAGATATGGCTTGAACCCATGGCTAATTTTCATACAAGGAACAAAAAATAAGAGGATGGTATAGAAGCCACCGAGGTGCAAAGTTAAAAATTGAGTATCGATACAGTCATGCTGACCGAATCTGGCCAAGCAGGATTCCCTCCTTGGTATCACCGTTCGTCACGAACATGAGGGTGGATAAGACAGACAGGACAAGACAGACAGGACAAGACAGACAGGACAAGACAGACAGGACAAGACAGACAGGACAAGACAGGCAGGACAACAAGACAAGACAAAACAGGAAAACGCAATGTCGTAGCATTCTCGCCTCCCACTGCCTACCAAGTGCCGGATTGAGATGGGCCAGAAGACCAGCGCTATCCCAACTCAGTGCATACAGTACAGAGAGCGAATCCACTTGGAGATAACGGGAGGTTGGCTGGCCTGCGGGCTAGCTAGTATACCTAGCTGCGAGATGCGGGTGGATAAGAAGATGGAAGATAAAAAGAACAAAAAAGACATCTTCCAGGCCGGCTAAGGTGTCTAGTTTAGACACTGAGTGCTAGTAGGGTAGTATGGCGGTGAGATATGATAGCTATGTAAGATGAACGCCGAGGGCGATTTTGCTGGTGCAACACTTTCCACGATGCCGCGTTAGGCGACGACGACCCCGACAGGACGGAGACAATATGGCTGCAAGGTCGCTCGCTAAGGCAGGCAAAGTGCTTTCCATTATGCACCCCGCAACCAACCCAAAACGCACGTATCGTTGTGCGCCAAAAGGAAGCGAGAAAGATTGGGTGGCTGAGGTTGGGGGACGCCCCGTAACGTGACTCGATGGATGTGGCTCTCATATAAAAACCATCGACTTGGGGCAGGATAAAATTTTAGTAGTGAGAAGAAGCCGACCTTAATTGGCCTTAGGTTGGCCCTGAAAAAGATGGAAGCCGTCGAGTATCAGCCTTGGAGTTTGATTTTTCAGCACCTCCGCCGTCAGTCACCTTCCTCCACTCTGCCCATTCACATTGGCGCCGACTCTCGCCGTCGAATCGTCTAATCCATGGACGAGGAAGGAGTCTGGAAGGGACCTGCCTGCCCGGCAAGTGGGACTCGCCAGCAGGTCGCCCCACCGAGTCCTGCGGTTCGCGACTTGGATGGAACCCTCGAAAAAAAAACCGAATGGGAACCGCCTGTCTGTCCACGATGCAGGGCGAGCGCGCATCATTTGCTTCCCAAGACTGGCGCTTTCTCTCGCTCGAGTCGAGGCTTCATGGCCCTTGTTTGGTGGCTGGTTCTTGAAATCGGTTCTGCGCCTTTGTTTTTCTTCTCGTGCATGTATCGTGCACACCTTCAATGTTGTCAGCTCGCTGCCTTCAGCGCCCTCGAGCACTTAACCAGGGCAGGACGCCGGGCAAGGCCGCCGACCTCCGCCGCTCGGTAAGTCCGCAAGCCTTCAAGTGCTACCGGCAGACGGTGCGCACCCAAGCTTGACTAGTAATTCTGGCGTGGCCGGCTCGGGGCTGGGTATACATCACCTGGGCACCTCCATGCTTGCCGAGACAGCTCGCCTGCCGTGTCCTGATCCAGACAGATCAGGGTCCTAACGCGCAGAGACCGCGGGAGCGCCCAAGCGTTGACTAAATTTTAGCTGCCCCATCCGCACTCGCTAACGTAACGGCAATCGGTCTCGTTGGCTCTGGCAGCCTGTGAACATCCGCTGCTCGATGGTGTCATGCCGCTTGGCATTTCTTGGACACCTTGGAAGCAAGAAAAAAAACCCCGAAAATCCTACGTCCGCTTGTGATCAGATTTTGCGGTCCTAGCCCATTTTTGGGGTGTGCGAGGTCATGCGCTAGGCGGACAATAGCACCCACGACGAGAGGGCCTCCATACCGCCTCTGCCCCTCTGCGTGTGCCTCTCTGCCTGTAATGGATGTATGTACTGTATGTGCCTAGATTTTGCCCAGCGCAGCACTTCGCACGCAAGCTACAGTAGGTAAGGTACCTTACCTAGGTGTAGCTTCCACATAAGGGAAAAAGGCGGTTCCTTGTGCGACCCAGCAAAGTATATAATTGCAACAAACCTTGTTTCCTGCCGGGCCAAGGTTCTCTCGTCTTTGTTTCCACTCTCCCCAAATCAAGCCGAGACATTCCAGCCTCTACTCCTACTCCTCCTCCTCCCCCCCAAGCTAGCTGCCTCCCGCCTGCAACCTCGAACTGAACTACCCCTTCCATTCCTACAACTTCAAACCCGCCTTCATCTCTGCGCCTCTCTCCCTAGACAATCGCAAAATGTCGTCAAATCTGCAGTCGTCTGGCCGCGGCGGCGCCGGCAACTACGTCGACAAGGACATCGCCCAGCCCCTCGAGAGACAGGACCTCGACACGCCGACGCTCAAGACGGCCGTGGTGACGACTGGCCGTGGTGGTACGGGCAACATGGCCAAGAACACCGACCCCGTCGAGACTCGCGCGCGCCAGGACGTTGAGCCGTAAGTTTGCTGTTTCTTCCCAATTTTTCTTTTTCTACCTCCGTTGGCCTGTTTCACTAACCCAGATACAATGAAATAGCGTCCAACGTACCGCCCAGCCTTTCTCCCACGTCGGCCGCGGCGGCACCGGCAACGTCTTCACTGCCGACGCCAACGGCAGCGACGCCAGCCTAGCCAAGAAGGAGCAGGAGATCTCGGGCTCGAGCTCGCCGACCCCCGACAGCGCCTCGCGGCCCGAGCCGCGCGACATTGGCTGGGCCGAGAAGGGCAAGAACTTCCTCTTTGGCCTTGGCAGGAAATAGAGCCAGCCTCCTCCTGGCTGCGCCGCCGCCCATCAGCCCTTCTCTCGGTACCTTGTACGGCACACACCCTCGGCAGCAGCTCAGCTCACGAAAGTCAAACGCCCGCCTGGATAGGCTCGAGACGTAGAGGTCTTACTATGTGCGCGGGCCCTGGGGAGGGAAACAATTTTTTTCTTCCTTTAATCGATGCGGCGGCAACATCCCCTCTCTTTTTTTCTATACCCCCTTATTTTCTTTTAGTATAGGATCGTGATAAAACGCCGTGCTTGCTTCCTTCGCCGGTTCACCGGGGAGCGGGGGGTATAAAGGCTTTCTTTTTCTCACCTTTTTTTTTTTTCGTACACTTGTCTTGTGATTTCATGTTTTGTTTTTACTTTGGGCGGAAGCTTCTCTGTTGTGCGAGCCCCCAAAATGTCATACCCGGGAGACTTGGTTGTCTTTTTTCTGTTAGTTGTGGCGTTGATGAAGGAGAAGGAGAAAGAGAGAAAAAGAATTAGGGGTGGATTTTGCGTGAATGTTGTATGTTGATATTTCGCGTCTGGTTGTGTCAGCCTCCTCCAATCAGAGTCAGAGCAGAATATTACCGGGGGTTTTATATTGCCGCCATGGCATGTTGTCATTGGACAAGCTGACGGGGGGGGGAGCTTGAATCAATGCAGACTGGCAGAACAGCTCGCTGCGTCAGAAATCCCCCTCCTCCGCTGCTTGAAGCAGGGCCCGCCCGCTCTTGACTGGATTTGATATTTATGAGGAGAGGTGTTCGCAACCTCGTCAGGATTTCGGTGTTTTTGATGCATTGAGTTGCTGAGAGTGCTTTGGGCTCTCTACTGCCAAGTATCAATCAATCCATCTGCAGATCTTCCCATTGGAGCACTCCCTTATTTATTAAATGTCACTAGTGAGCTGGGTATTTTACCTCGCCTTTTCCATCCCCTTTCGACCTTCACCTCCCACCCTCTCTCAATAGTCCATTCTGGAGTATCGGCATCTTCGTGCAGGGCGTGGGCTCGAGGCTGCGATGATGCGCTCTCCGATATGTGCCTGATCTGCATGCGCGGTCTGCGACAGAAGGGCGTGCATATCTGCAGAAAAACGCATTTACTTTACAGTAGTAGCCTTGTCGTTTCTACGTCTATATGAAATGACACCTTTCCCCTTTTTCCTGGGTGGGATGTGTGACTCAATCCTGTCAATGTAACTTCAACACCAACAAGAAAAATCACACATACCGCCCGGATCTATACATCAGACACACTCACCCTTCTTTTCCCAACAACAAGCGAGCAACATGAGACGTGCATCGTCTTTGGTGTTCTTGCTTTGATATTCCATCATCTACCCCCCAAGGTGCCGAAACCTTAACCACCATGGCGCCTCGCATCATCATCCAAGAGCACCTCCCAACAACCACTGCCGCAGAAGGAGAAGTCTCGGCTGCCACAGACGCCAACAGGTCCCTCCAGGACCGCCTGCGGCAGCACATCCCGCACTCGCTCGCGCTGCTGCGGCGGCTGCAGTTCGCTGGCAAGTTTGCCGGCACATCGCCGGCCACGGCGCGCGTGCTGCACGCCTACTACTCTTCTACTTCTCCAGAAGGCAGCAGCAGCAGCAGCAGCAGCGATGGCCCCTTCGCCGCCGCCTACGTCGACCTCTCGCGCGGGCCCGAGACCGAGTGCTGGCTGTACAGCTCGCTCGAGGACAGCTGCGCGTCAGCGGCGCACACGACCGACGATGAACGCACGCGCCTGACGACGAGCTGCGCGGCCGCCGATAGCGATGCGGCCGCCGCCATGGACCTCGTCGCCGCGCTGCTGCGGCGCGTTCGCCGCCTCGAGGCCGACCAGTGGGACCAAGGCCTGCTGCCCTCCGGGGGGAGTGGCAGTGGTGCCAAGGGCCACCTCCGCGGCGGCGTTGTGGTCGGCGCGCTGAACGAGGCCGTCCGCGCCAGGCTTGGCGAGAGGGGCGTGCTGATGGGCAGCACCATCGCGATCCCGCGCGGCATGGACTGGGACTGGTGTGCCAAGTGGTTGTTTCGCCTAGACGCGCTGCCGGGGGGTGGTGGTGATTTGCTTGCGAGTGTTAGTAGTGGTGTAGGCGGCGAGATGGAGAAGATGCGCTGGGATACCGCACGGCGCGAGGATCTCGATGTCATCCTCTCGAGGACGGCGGTTCCTTACTCTCCGTAAGTTGAACCCCTTTTTGGTCTTGTCTTTTTCTTTGTGTAACCTCACCCCCTTTTTAGCAAACTTTTATTTTCCCCCTTGAACCACTTCTCCGGAACCCCCTGGAAGAGTGAATTATGGCATCCTCCAACTCTCACCCCGAAACAACAACTAGCAACTTGCATCTACTGACGCACCTTCAGAGCGACGCTCCTTACACTGCCAAACACGGTCGTCAGGCTAGATGACGGAATTCCCATTGCGTGGGCCTTCCTGGGTTAGACCTCCCCCCCGCCCTTGGATCTGACAACTCCCCTCTTAACGTTGACCGCCGACATGTAGGGCTCGATGGGACGACAAAAACGCTCCATGTAGAGGTTAGCAGCAGATAAGATCCCGAGCCGAGCCGAGCGCTGCCCCAGCCCAACTGACTGTTTTTGCCCTCGCAGGAGCCTTACCGCCGCCGGGGTCTGGCCAAGGCTGTGGCAGCCAAGCTCATGCGCGCCCATCTCAAGGACTACGGCGACGACGGCTGGGGCGGCGCCGACGTGTCCGTCGCCAACCTCAAGAGCCAGGCGGCCTGCAAGAGTATTGGCGGAACGCTGGGCTGGGTGCTATCCTGGTAAGTCCTGTCTAACTTTCCGAAGGGGAGAAACCGGGCAGGGGTGGTGACATGCCGGTCCTGTCCCGTCCGTGTTGTGAGCGGGAAGGCAAGTTAACTTTGTGTTCTTTCCCAGGGCACTCATTGATCTTTCCAGTGTTGGAGGCCCTCTGTAACGAGGCGTTACCGCAATAGATGCCTGCTATATATTGCAGTTAAGTCCTGCAACGGTCAGGATTGTCAATAGCAACCTAGGACTCTCCCTCAAGGATGAAGGGGCGGAACGGAATGGTAATACGATGCGGTGACTAGAGGATTCACTAGACTGCTAAAACCTTATAGATGGAGGTGTTTTACGCAGTCCATACCCTTTGGATTGGGTTACCTATTTTCGTTGTGAAAATATGCCGACTTTATAAGCGTCTTTTCACCGTGGTGTTGTTTGTGTGCCGCGACCATCCAACCATAGCAGCTCGCACAGAGATGAATAATAACGCATATCATCGTTAAAAATACGGTCGTTGATGTAGGTTTAAGTGGCCAAGATATGAGGCCATTCCCGGTTCCGGATGCAGCAGCCAACCACTCGGCCAGTCATAAAAAATTGATTCAATGCAAATGGTTTCATCTCAACAGAAGCCCGGAAATGCAGAGGCGCTGGGTCTAGCCGCCGCTATACCAATGTGAGGCCAGTTTCGTCCTGGAATGGCAAAGATAATCTCCGAATGGAGCCCGGTAAGGCTGAGATTGAAGAAAGTGAAGGCGCTAGCAGATCGGTCTTGTCATTTAGGATGGCTTCTTCACTGGTCGCCAGCCAGTCAAGAGCAGTGTATTATGTTTGGGAGGATAGCCATTGACAATCAGTGGGTTAAGGATCGGGACAGGTCCCTGCTCGTCGAGAGGTGGGTGCTTTAAGAGACAGCACAACATAATTAATCATGGTTATGCTACATTTGCTCGATAATAGCGCTTATAGCCTACAGGCGCCTACAAGCTCCATCTTTGCCACCTGCTCCAAGATATAATCCTACTCTGGGGTATAATCTCCGTCCTGGTCGCTGAGCTGCTTCTCAACTTCTTCCTCGGTTGCCTTGAATCGTTTCTCGTCTGAGGATCTGAGTTTCTCTGGCGACGGGCGGACCATCTTCTGCTTGACCATCTTCTGCTTGACCATCTTCTGCCTGACCATCTTCTGCCTGGCCATCTTCTGCCTGCTTCTTCTACCTTCGAGAACTTCATCTGACCCCCGCCTCCGCTTCAGTGTCTGATCAACAGCCTCACTCTCCTATACCAACTTATACAACGGAGTAAAGGAGATGGTAATTACCCCTTTGACCTTTTGGATCCCGGAGTAATCAAGCTTATTACTGAAATCCTTCAGCCAAATCCGGAGCTTCTCTTTGCCATTGACCAAATTCCTATCTGCATCCCGAAAGGTACCCTTGAAGGTCTCTTTTATTGTAAGGGTCGTTTCTCCGTTCTTCTTAGTCTTATTTGGTCGCCATACTACAACTCTTGCTTCTTTTCCCTGACACCTAACGATGATAACCTGGGTCAACCCATTTGAATTCGTACCACATTAACAAATAATTTGGACGTGCAATCGATAAGGGGTTGGTGGGGGAGAACCGATACCCCACTGCAGGCTGCAGGGGCTGATACTGCCAGCCCGCCTCCAGCTGGCGGCCGAGAATGAGGGGCTCGAAATTTAGCGCGCAGGCCCTGGTGCGTCGTGAGGCCGATTTGTTTACACTCACTTTGCTTCTCTATCCCACTCGCCAACCCGCCAACTTTACCTCGACATCTTCAACCTGCTACGCTCTCCACTTCTGCTCCGATCCCGTCCGCTCCACAGCACCATCGTCTATCGCGTCGCATTGCTGCATAGCAAATTTTTGGCCCTCCTGCTGCCAAATCGCCAGATCCCCGCCCACACTCCGCGCTCTGAACTTTTCACCCCACGTGCCTCTACCCTCCGCGAGCGTGTCATCGACCGGGACGCGTAGCTACCTTGCCAACCCTCCCGCAACAGACTCGCCAGTCGCCTCCACGTCATATTCATATTCTTCACTCGGGTGAATTGGCTACTTCCCGCATTGTCTGCACACCCCGCATTCTGTCTCGCGTCCAAAAGCGTCAAAGTTTTGCCGCTGTGCTTGGACAAGATGGCGAGCTTCGATGAGATGGGCATTGACACCAGCCGCCGCAATGCGAGCCCGCGACAGCTCACCGATGCAGAGCGTGCGCGCCTCGACGAGTTCACCGACGCGATTCACTACTCAACGCGGTATGTTCCTCCGTTTTCCCCCCTTCCAGGTAGCTCGTATGCTAACGCCCCGTCGCCACCAGGTATTCCGACGACGAATACGAGTACCGCCACGTCCAGCTGCCCAAGGCTATGCTGAAGGCTATCCCAACAGAGTATCACGACAAGTCCAAAGGCACGCTGAAGCTTCTCTGGGAGGACGAGTGGCGAGCTATGGGCATCACACAGGTATGAAGTCTTCTCGTGGGACCCGGCAGGCTTGGCGATTGCAAACTGACAAATTTTTCAAATCTGTAGAGTCTTGGCTGGGAACACTACGAGGTCCATGAGCCAGAGCCGCATATTCTGCTTTTCAAGTAAGCAAATACCTCTTCTCCTCCCTACAGTCTACAACTGACTAGGTTGGTCCAGGCGTCCCTTAAACTACCAGCCCCCGGCGCAGTGAATGGGGAGGCCGAATTGGGGGCGTTAGTGAGAGGATGGAGTTTTTTTTTTTTTTTTTTGAGCGAAAGGGTGGACTGCTCCGTATCTTGCATTACCACAAACCGACGACTGCATAGCGATTCTCACCGTTTCTGTATGGGTATACATAGATGCGACAACAATATTGGAAGGGAGGGAGGATACGAGTTTTGTCGCGTTACCGAGGAACTCTCTGTCGCATTTTCTCAGACTTCTCGACTTGATTATTGGGGCAACCCAGAATCCCACGCGCGCGCATACATTCACACGAAAAACACCTTCCCCCTATTGCGACGGCGGCGAGGGCCCACCTGGCCCGGGAATAACGGCATACACAACGGGACCCTTAACACAGCATGAAGGGGTGGTGTGTGACGAGAAGTGCTGTGTGTGGAACATCTTGAGCAGGCTACCCAAAATTTAGGCTCTGGTAGAGTCTGTTGTTGAAGTAATTGCCGCCAGGAGGGAAAGTGCATTTATTTGCACGTTGGTGTAGGTAGGTAGGTAGGCAGGCAGAGACGACCTACTCACCCCATTGACCTGGCATGAGGGTCGCGGGTTGTGAAGTAATGAAATTTGATGAAGAAATACCGCCGCAAAGACAGAGTTTGAGTCTGCCACTGAGGGGCGGTGTCAATGGACCTTGCGAATAACCTTCAAGCTGTCTTGGATTTGCTTGGCTTGGATCATCTCACGACTTGGTATCAACATTTGGCAACAACCACTATCTAATGAGGGGGTCGAGTGTTGAGAGTTGAGAATTAATGAGCTTGTTGAGGAAAAGAAGACTTAAACTCCGTGACGTGGAATCACCACATGTTTCCGTGTCAAGGAGTGCCGGTGGTATCAAACTCCAGAAGATACGGAGTACCTAAGGTACTGGATGTGACGGCGGGGCTTAACACCTACTACCGCTGCACCACACCTTCCAAAAGGATGCCAGAATTGCAAGCTGCCAAGCTGCAATCTGTAGTAGGTTATAGTATGGTTACGCACCCGTAGGCCTGCCCACAGCGCCTACGGTACCGTGCCGTGACACCGGACACCTTGATTGGGCCTACCGTCATGCACAGAGACATCACACGGCAAAGAATTTAGAAATGTTCGACGAACCAAGCCCCATTGCATGAAGCGGCAGCCGATCCTCTAGCTACTCTTTTGTTATCCCCTCTTACCTGTGGGGGTGCCGTGGGAGGCTTGCATTCCGCCCGCAAAAGCCACGCTGTCACTTTTGACGACGGCGAAACCCGCAGCGAATGAGTTACAAGCCCGCTAAGACATGCCATACGGACAGTTACCGATTAGTCGAGATTCATATGCATGTGCATGGGGTTTTTTTCCGGGGCCACAAGGAGACCGCAGAAATGTGTCGGGGCAATTGAGATTTATTGATTTGAAAGCAAGCAGGCTCCGGCATGGTCGCCCGTTCGGCAATTCGACATCTGCTGATTTTCTTTTGGACACATTTCACTACCAAGCAAAAATCGCCTCACAGTAAGCCACAACAGCCCACTTAAACGCTTCCAAAACCTCCCAAGAGATCCCTTCCCTTGGGGATAGGCCCGAAGTCAATCATTAAGACAGTAAAGTAACCTACCCAACCGGGCCACCGCCTACCTCGCCCTCGATAAAAATAAAAGGATCAGCAGCCGCTTCGGTACACCCCGGAAGGACCGGCCGCTTTCTCTTTCAAACCCGAGGCCACGTTTATTCTTTATTGTCATATCATACGGGATTACCCCCTTGTTTTGTTTCTCTTTCTCTATCCTCTATTCAGGAGACGCCACTGTGAAGCTCAATCTCCTTATTCACTGTCCTTTTGCCCCTCAGCCCGCCTTTTTTTGTTAGGTTGTAAATAAGCGTGCCTGCCCTGCCCTGCCGCATCTCTGTGTCAATCGGCTCGATAAGATAACAACATCCCTCCCCATCGAACGCCCAGCCGCCCGCCCGCCGCCCACTTCCCCGTCCCACGTTAAACTTCCTTGCCGCAAATGACGATTGCCCGCTGCTGGCATTGAACATCTCCCGCGCCTCTGGGGGACCTTTTTCTGGGGGACAATTGCGACGCTGTTTCAGACCTGGTCTCGGGAAGACACCCGGCGGCCCCTACCCTGACGCAGCCCTGACACGGCGCATTCCTAGAAAGATCAAGCCACCTACCTTGGCCTTGAACTTGGGCCTTTGATAATCAACTTTTTTTTTTCGAACATCGTATTTTCTAGCGGTCGAAAGAAAGGGGCTACGTGTCTGAGAGGCCGGCAAACAGCCCATCTTTGCGTGCGTGCTCGCAATCCGACGGCAGCCATGAAGTCGGCCGCTCGCCTCTTTTACTTGTCCGTCTTCGCACTCTGGGGTCCCCAGGTCCAATGCCTCACACAAGACACCACTCAAGATGCTTGCGCGGTATGCTTTTATGATTAATTTTGTTGCCTCCCTTGCTGCTGCGGCTGCGGCTGTTGCATCGTCGTCCGTCGGCTACTTGGAGTCTCGCAGTGCGCCAGCGGCAGGCTCAACACCACCACAGCCAGCGTTTCGTATCGTGCTCTCTTCTAATAGGTCTTCCTTCCAGATATCGCCCAGGGCAATAGTCAGCGATGCCTGCGCATCATATTCGACACTCGAGCGGTTAAACCGCAACGTCAAGCCAGCTCTTGACGAGCTGACGCAGACGACGGATTTCTTTTCGTACTACCGACTCAACCTCTTCAACAAGAAGTGTCCATTTTGGAACGACGAGGATGGCATGTGCGGCAACATTGCCTGCGCCGTCGAGACGCTCGACAGCGAGACAGACATCCCCGAGATATGGCGCGCTAGCGAACTCGGCAAGCTCGAAGGTCCGAGGGCTAAGCACCCCGGCAAGACGGCGCAGAGAGAGCGGCCCCAGAGGCCATTGCAGGGGAAGCTAGGAGACAACGTCGGCGAGAGCTGTGTGGTCGAGTATGACGACGAGTGTGACGACCGCGACTATTGCGTGCCCGAGGACGAGAGCGCCGGTTCCAAGGGAGACTACGTGAGCTTACTGCGCAACCCGGAGCGCTACACAGGCTACGCCGGCGCCGGCGCCAAGCAGGTCTGGGACGCGGTATACCGGGAGAACTGCTTCCAGAAGAGCTCGTTCCCGCACTCGGCGTCGCTGGGCAAGATTCCGACGCCCAAGGGTCCGGCTGCTATGGACTTCAAGGCCGTCATTGAGGCCGCCGGGCGGCAGCAGGCTCTTGAGGAGCAGCGCCAGCACAACCCGCTGACGCCCTTCGTGGCCAAGACGGGCTTGGAGCACGAGGACGAATGCCTTGAGAAGCGCGTCTTCTACCGCGTCATGTCGGGCATGCACGCCAGCATCTCGACGCACCTGTGCTGGGACTTTTTGAACCAGACCACAGGCCAGTGGCAGCCCAACGTGGGCTGCTACATGGCCCGCCTGCACCAGTTCCCCGACCGCACCAGCAACCTGTACTTCAACTACGCGCTCCTCACGCGCGCCATCGCCAAGCTCGGGCCCTACCTCGCTGCCCACGACGACTACACGTTTTGCATGGGCGATGCGGACGAGGACGCGGCGACGCGGGCCAAGGTGCTGGCCGTGACGAACAAGGCGGCGAGCGTGCCGCAGATCTTTGACGAGAGCCTTATGTTCAAGAACGGCGAGGGTCCATCGCTCAAGGAGGACTTCCGCAATCGGTTCCGCAATGTCAGCCGGCTGATGGACTGCGTCGGCTGCGACAAGTGCCGCCTCTGGGGCAAGCTGCAGACGGCCGGCTACGGCGCCGCGCTCAAGGTGCTGTTCGAGTTCGACAACAGCGCCGACAAGCCTGACGTTGTGCTGCCCGTGCTCCAGCGCACCGAGCTCGTCGCCCTCTTCAACACCTACGCGCGCCTGAGCAGCAGCCTGATAGCCATCCAGCAGTTCCGGGCCATGGTCGAGCAGTCCGAGGCCGCCGCCAATGTCGATGGGCGCGTCAAGGAGGCCGAGAAGATCAATGTCATCCCGGACCGCGCAAAGAAGCCGCGCCACGTGATTGTGCCGTCCGTGTCTGCGCCGTCGGAGGCCGCCGTCGACGACGACTTTGACGACGAATTTCTCGACGACGACTTGCCGGAGTTTCACGAAAACACCACGCTCAAAGACGAGTTTAATCAGGAGTTAGAGCTGGTCATGAGGGCTTTGAGAGCTGTGCTCAGGAGCTGGATGTCGTTTCCGCGGACATTGTGAGTTTTTCTTTCGGCTCCCCCTTTCCACAATTCCGGGGGAATTATGACTCAATTTCTCGTGCTGACTGCCTGCGTCTCCAGCCTCGACATCATCACCTCGGAACTGCTCCGGGTGTGGCAGGGCTTCATCGGCCTTCCCGTCCAGCCCCGGTCGTGGAAATTCCAACGACCTAGCATGGACGAGCTATGAGATAAAGAAGAAACCAAAATCTAATTCTCGCGTTGCTTGCTTTCCTGCCTTCCCTAAGGTACTCGGAAATTGGATTAAAACTTTTTGAAGCATTATTCTCTTGTTCCATGGTCACTCAACTGCATTGTATTGTCTGGTTTATGGGAGGGCTAGGCGTTCTTTTTTGTTGTCACTGCTGCAAGAACAAAGGTCGTACAGACACGAGAAATCTGTGTGTGTGTGTGTGTGGGTGTATGTGGGTGCGTCTGCAAAAATATCGGGTGCTCTGGCGTTTCCAGGTGTGTATTCACCAGCTTGTTTTCTCTTGCCTGTCGACGATGGCCATCAGCAATGGCAATGAAAGAGACGAGGAGAGAAACAAAAGTCTCGTCTTGCCAAGTATTAAGTATACCTATATGGTATCGGATAGTGTCAATAGCCTGTATATACAAGTATCAAAGTACCTCGCGTTCGTGTTGACAGTCACTGTTAGTTAGTATATACTTAACCACGTCATTTTAGTGTGTGCATGGTGATGGGTATAATCCATTTCACGTTGGTGATGGATCTAACTGCGGAAGTAGCTTCCGGAGTTGACATACGAAAGCATAATATCCACATCTTTTAAAGAATAGAAAATCAGCGTGTTGATTTGTGTAATTAAACCCCTGTGCAGAGAGTAAAGGCTACAGACTACAGACTACGTAACTTTGGTGGTAAGAAGAACGGCTGTTAGGTTGCTGCTAGCCAGCCATGCACCAATCACTATATCTCATAACTGACTCGTGAGAAACTCCGTTTACCAAAAGCTACCTACCTAGGTAGCTTAGGTACGGTGCTCAGAGACCCAAGAGACTCCGCGCCGGCCTGTTGCTGCTGCCACCGCCCGCACCATGCCAGCCGCCGGCACCGCGCTCCAGCAGCGGGACATGCGTGACGACATTGCCTATCTTGGCCTTGATCCCGTCAACGCGGATCACGAGAGGCTGTATTGCTGCTGATTGCTGCAGTTCCTCGAACACGGCCGCCGTCAGCTGCTCCAGCTCGGCCGTCGGCGGCGCAAACGTCCACGCGATCGACACATGGAATGCCCTGCCAAGCGCCGCCGGCGCCGACTTCTCTTCTTCGGCTCCGTGGTCGCTCTGTACCTCTCCACTGCCGCCGCCGGCCCACTGGTACAGCTCGGGCTGGCCAAAGTGGCGCGCCACGCCGTTGCAGCGCCGCAGCAGGGTTGTGAGCTCTGGGTTCGGGTTGTTATTCGGTGATGCTGTAGGGGGGCTGGCGGCGTCGCTCTCACTCTGCACGCGCAGCACCAGGAACGAGCGGCCGGACTCGCTGGTGCGGTGCCACTCGACGCCGCGGCACCGCAGCGGGAAGGGTGCCACGCCGCTGCCGGCGACGGCAGCGTGCACGCGCTCCAGGAAGCCGTCCTTGTCGGCCGTCGCCAGCGCCAGCGGCCGCGACAGGCTGATGTGCAGCGGCTGCGGCGCGCCCAGGTCGCTCGTGAGGAAGTTGCTGATGGCGGTGGGGGCCGCTCTTTCGTCCCCTCCTGTTCTTGGGAGGATGGCGGCGGTTACGCGCTCCTGCAGGGCGGCCAGCGCCGCGGCCAGCGCCGCATGCGTCGGCGCCGCAGGGTGCCACTCGGCGTACAGGTGGCTCGGCCAGTTGCCGACCACGTGGGGATTCTGCCGCAAGCGGCCCTGGTGCAAGCTCGGATCGTCACGCGTGCTCGTCCGCACCGTGGAGGCGTACAGGTCGTGGAAGGCTGCCGGGAGCGGAGGCAGGCTGCTGCTTGCCGAGGCGGCATCAGAGGCATCAGATGGCGCGCCAGCCCCAGCCGCAGCGAGCCTGGGCTTTTTCGCCAGCGGATTCACAGCCTCGCCCTGCTTTCGCTTTGCTCCGTGGTCGCTACCAGACCTCTGAGTGTGCCGCGGAGACGCATACGCGTCATGGCCTTTGGCGTTGTCGGCCGTGTTTGGGCCGACGCCGACGCCGACGCCGACGCCGTCGTCGTCATCGTCTGAAGAATCTGACGAGTAGTCGACCAAGGCCATACGCCGTTACTTAGTGGTGGTGGTGTTATTACTACTACCACTGCGTAAGGCGCTTCAAAAAGTTAAAAGAAAACCGACCGGTTAGTTAGCTGATTCGGCGTTCGTAGTTTCGTACATGCATGTACACAACGTAGCATGACGCGCTAGCCGAGGGCCCGGGAGCGCTGCTCGAGGCAGACCCGATTGTAGAGGGGCCGACCAACCCGATAGGCATCGTAAGGTATTAGAGTTGCCGTTTGTGTTTTGTTTCGTTTCGTCTCCCGTTCGTTTCTTTGCGTTTTCCTTTTTGGTCGCCCCCGCCATGGCCCCGACCAAAAAACCCGAGGGACCGACCCAAAGACCACCCTGGCCGCGCACGCCTCTTTACAATCGGGGAAAACAAGAGAGGTTCAGCTTCTCAAGTTCTCAGCCCTGCCGTCAGGCCCGCAGCCGTGTTTCGACGCGGCTGTAGGAAGCACGAGCGTCACAAGCAACTCACCAGTAGTCACCGCGTGCGAGGCTGGATGTCCCAGTGCGGTTGGGCCAATTGTAGCCTGTAGCTGCTTGTGCACGTCGACCAAAATGCGGGACGCAGGGGCGTTCTGTCCGGCGCTCCTTGGCTGGGACACTGGAAGCCACCTGGTGCCACTGCCGCTGCAGGGTCCTGTTCGGCTGTTCTTAGCGCACGCTTCGCTTCCGTTCCTGATGGCGGGGTAGGGTTACACCGTTGGAAAGGCTTTTCGGGGAGCCGGGTTTGCATGCGCAAAGCTTCTGCATCGCCCAGGCCTTCAACCGCGTCTAATGCCCCTCTGGGTCGAGGGCGCAATTGGTCCGGGCCTTTGCTTTCGTTCTAGCCTCTAGGCTACTATACTAACTACGGACTCGGTAGGTACCCATTGTAAGCAACGGCTGCTCTGTAAAGTACGCGTCTACCTACCTTACACGCATATAGCGGGGTTAGGGTCAGACTATATCCGGTCCAGTCCGGACTGCCTTGCTACCTCAGCTTTGGTACCTTCCCACAGCGAGAATCCGTATTGGAAAACACGGAAGGTGCTACAACCTACAAGACGGAACGTGCTTCAGATGGACGAGCCAAGCCGTCTTGACCCGCCCAACCAGACACGCACTGGATGGTCTGCCGAGCCATGCGTTCGCCGAGCACTCGATAACAGGACAGACGCGTTAATTAATAACTATGCCGAACACTAACGCGCCAAGCATCCAAGCAACCTAATGGGAAGCAGCTTGGGACTGGACTGGAGCGGTCGAGTCCTTCGTGCGTCCAGTGTGGCCTTGCCCAACTTGGCATGTTTCCTGGCGATCCAAGCCCGCCTGTCCACTTTGGGGGGTGCCTTGCTGCCTCGGTGCTTGGTGTGTTGGGGGTCTTTGATGGTCTGGAAGGAAGTGCCCTCTTCGCCCTTCGCGCTCGTCGAGCACACCCTCCCCCATCCTGGTTAAATGCGTGCCAGGACGGGCTAGTGAGTGACGTCGGACCCTCGGCCGCGGGGTGTCGAGGCCGCGAAGGAAGCGGTCTACCCCAAGGTTGGGCTTCGAACTCACACTGCAATGGCCGGTGCAAAGGTAGGTGTGGCGTGTGGTGTGTGGTGTGTGGGTGTGTGGTGTGTGCCCCGCCGCCCTTTTCCCCGGATGACCTTTTGATCATAAGGACAAGCAATTCCTGTGCCGAGACTTTAATGCTGAGACGTTTCTTTTTTTGCTCTTTTTTACTTTCTGTTTCTTTTAAGCAGTGCTAATTTTTTTTATCAATAGAGCTGGACAGGAATACGCTTTCATTCCTACAATACCTTTCTCTCTCATTGTTTGACTCGGATTTCCCTGCCTGTCAAGCGATCTAAACCCTTGTCATCCCGCCGATCCAGCCCGATCGCGCAACAGCAGTTTCGCGCCCAAAGACCCCGCTGACACCCCGCCTCACCCGCCGCCCCAGAGAGCACTGAGCGAGCCGCTACCAAGCGGACAAGGCAGCCAAAGGCAGCCAATATGGACGACGAAAAGGTAGACAAGCAATGGGTGAGTGAGCGCAAAAAGAGCTTTCGTCCAGTTGCCTTGCTTTCGTCTACAGCCATTGCCCAAATTCCGTCTTTTGCCCGCCGTTTCATTCCATATTCCCCATCCCGTCTCCCATCACCAGGTCGTTGAAGAGGTGTAAATATCCTCGTGCCTTTTACTCGTCTAGGTGCTTAACCCTTGCGCCGCGGAAGGCCCGGCGGCCCCAAGTGCAGGCGTTGGACAAAAACGTTCCAACGGGGTGATGGTCCATTCGAGCAGTGGAGATGGCGTCGCAACATTGCCACCACGTCAATATTCCCCGGCAGACCGCGGGAAAGTACTTTGCTTCCCGATTCCAGCCGGCGAAATCATGATATTCTGCAGGGCAAGGCAGCTTATCTCGTCCCACTATTATGACACGAAGCGTTTGTGCCGCAATTGATAGCTCGAGGGAGCTCAAGGACAGGGAAAGCCATGGCACGGGAGGCGCGGGCGGCGCCTTCTTGAATCCCCACAGACAAGACAGGTCATTGCCCAGTGGCAACCCTTGACGGCTTGGCACTGCCAGCAGTTGCGTCACTGCCACTTACACAATCGTCCACCTTGCACCTTCTCGCCAGGATTGTACCTTGACTTCCCATCTCGGAATGGGAGTTGCGGAATAACATGAAACAATGCCAGCGGTCCACTAGTTCATTTTTGCTAATGACCTCATTCTTGGATTCCCACGGCTAGGCTAGCAGATACATCCTAGGCCCCTTATACGACCCCGAACCGAGCCAAGTCTCTGCAACCCGCGTCAAAGTCCTCCCTCCCACTCCTCCGTCCTCAAACAGCCCGACCAGAGCGTATTTCGGCTCCCCCCGTAGCAACAGCAAGCGTCAAAAGGCCGCCGCCGCCGCCGCCGACAACGACGACGACGACGACGGCGACGACGACGCAGAAGAGCAGCAGCCCATTCTCCGCCGTCTTTGGAGTATTAGCAGGAGCAACAGCGCCAGAAACAGGCATCTCCCTCCATCCCCTCCGCAGCAAAACTACCACTCGCCAGTAACTGGCCTGCAACGGAGCGTTTCTGTACACACAGCCAACCCGCCGCAGACTCGCTGGAATCAAGGAACTATCCTCGCCAGATCAAACAGCGTCGCCTCGCCTCGCCCCAGAGTATCCGCAATGTCAGTGTCGGCTGGACAGGAGAGGGCCACCGGCCACCACCGATCTGGCTCTCTCGCCGAACGCTACCCTGGCGACAGATCACATCGTCCCTTGGAGATGCTGATGCAGGAGCATTATGCAAAGGACGATCCCGAGGACGCGCGCAAACATAGGCCCAAGCCCGAGCCGAGTTCGCTCCCGAGTCGTGGTGGCTCCCTGAGAGAGCGGTACCCGGGAGACATGTCTCACCGACCCCTAGCAATGATCAAGCGGGAGCATCGAGCTGCCGATCGGGCACCCTACCTGCACACGCACCGCCGCCAGCAGCCTAGTGATCCTATCGATCTTCTTGACCACACGGGTCCTCTGCCCCAGGCCGCTTACCACCACGGTGGCCCGTTCGACCCCCTTATGACTTCCCGCAACACCAACAAGACATACTCACCCGTCGAAGCTGTCAAGGAGACCAATATGGAGGCCATCAGGGCCACCCCAGCCGAATACCTCCAGGACTCTCTGGTCAAGCATATGCCGCTGCAGGGCACTGCTGTCATCCCCCCGGGCATGCAAACAATTAGCGGACACACGATGGAGTATGAAGAGGGTGCCGACCTGATGCGGGAGCGAGATGCCGAAGGCGGTGCATATAAACGATGGGACCATGTTGTAGGTTGACCTGGCTAACTTTGCTATGCCCTCGGCGAGAACTGGGAACTAACTTGGTAATTCTGCAGCCGTACCGCGACGACGACATGAAGGGCAAGGGCGAGCCCTCTTATACATTTGAGCGAGACCGAAGAGAGCAGCGGAATGGCAAGTTGGTAGATCCTTTTGCCTCCCCGCAAGACTCCTCTACCTCGTCGCCCCGTACCCCTGGCGCCGACAACAGCAACATGGTCTTCGAAATGCAACCATCCCTTTTCAACGGCCGACGGGAAGAAAAGAAGGACGAGACCCGCGTTCTCCAGCGCAGCATCAGCAATGCCAGCCGCGCACCGCGTTCTCCCGATTACGCCGTTGGCTCTACTTCCAACGGAGGTTACTCCGCTGGCAATTCAGGAATCCATCGCAGCAACACCACTGGAAAGAGCCTTGCAGATTCATTGAAGCGGCGCTTCGGTAGTCTACGGCGGCGAAAGGCTCCAGAGGAAGACGGCGTGTACTAAATTGCCCGCCGTTCAGAGTTTGAGTTTATAACGGCCACCGGTCCAAGTGGCCGAGGCGTCTTCTTTACGGCGGTGGCGGCGGCGGTCTGACGTGGGGTTTTTATCATTATTGTCAAGACCAGTATAAATCTGTACACCATGAGCACCTCAGTCTTCCCTTGCATTCATTGTTCATTTTGCTTTTCCTATAGGCAGCACTCATACAAGGTACTTGGGGATACAACAATGAAGGGGGATAGGAAAGGAATTATTAACCGGAAAATAAAGGAGGAATACACGAGCATTCTAACGTATAAATTTACGAAGCCATTCAACGCGCTCCCGTGTTACGCATGCTCGCTATAACTTGTATTTTCTTGATATGGCGAGGGCAGGTCGATGCTAATTTCTCCCGGGACTGTTGCTGTTGCTGTTGCTGTTGCTGTTGGGAGGGTTGATTGGTTCAGTCCCAGGTCCAGCCTTGGGATGGATCCATTCCATTTGATGTACTCCGTAGAAAATCTCAAGTCGGGTTTTGTTTTCTTTCGTCTACTCTACTCTAGCAGGGAGAGACTTCCGCAGTTAGATCTGTCGCCAAAGTGAAATAAATAGCTTATTCCCATCACCAAAACCATACACACAGTAAAATGAACACTTAGTCAAGTTAGAGTCAAGTTCTTTTCCAAGGCTTCAACGTAAATTAATTATTATTCTATTCCGCGCGATTTGTCTCCTCGGGGTGTATTTCGTATCAGATAAGTTAGAATGGCTCTAGCTTAACTGTGTTCCTAATGTGTATGCATGGCGAGGGGTGTAGGCCGTGTCCCTATTATATTGTGATAGATCTAGCATGGTAGAGTCGGTTCTCGACAGAGATGACGGATAAATAAATAACTAAATATCTAGGTAAGGTACATAAATAACACGATTCTATATCCCGCATCTATCTTTCAAGCAAGCAAGCAAGCATCGCCATGTTGAAAGGTCACTCCCTTACTTGTTCTGTTTTCTTGCAAAGGGGGAAATCAACTCGAAGACAAGAGAAAACACGACTGAAAAGAAAAAAAGAGAGAATGTGTTACTACTACTAGTTTCTGTACAGGCCACATAATATACTACCCGTCGACCTCTGCCTTTGGACTGCGAAGCAAGCCCCTATTTCAGCCCAGTTTAGTAAACAAAACAAGCCGCCAAGGACAGCATTCCAATCCATCCCGTTCGTTCCACCTGACCCCCAAGGACTTGATAAATCAGCACGCGCCCGATACGGTATGGGTGAGATCCCTCAATAAACAGGGCTCCCGCCATCACCGCATCCGTGCAGGAAAGACGTCGCTATCGAAGTCATCGGAGCCGGACGAATTATAGCCGCTTACTCTGGCGCTGAACCGTCTGCCCGGAAACGGGGACTTTGGCGGCTGCGCTGCAGTAGTAGAGGTGGTGGAAGTGGAGGGGATAAACTGGAAAGTGCGTCTTACGGAACCATCGCTATCGCCATCGCCATCGCCATCACCATCGTCACCGCCGTCGCCATCGCCATGGCCGCTGTGGTCATCACCGCCATCATCATCATCCTCCTCCTCGTCGTCGTCGTCGTCCTCCTCCTCCTCCTCCTCCTTCTCCTCGCGTGTCTCGTCCTCGCTCGAAGTTCCACCGCTACCTAAACCACCACTACCGCTGTTGCTGCTGCCACCATTTCCATACAACGCCTGGCCCCACGGATTGGCCTCGTCGTCGTCAGACTCATCGTCATTCCCCTCGTCGTCCTCGGCCTCGGCCTCCTCCAAGGACTTCTGCAGTTCGATGGGGTCCCAGCTGTGTGCGAGCGACTCCGGGTCCACTTCAGGCAGCCACGGCTCGCCCTGGGGATCGAGATAATCGCCCTCTGGGCGTGCCAGGGTTGGCCGCAGGATGCTGGGGACGAGGTTGGCGATCCGTTCGCTCCAGGTGCGTTTTCTGCGGAACCCGGTAGCTGTTGTGCAAGTAAGGGGGTACGTCAGCCGGATACACTCTCCTGAAAGAGAAAAGAATCACAAATAAACGGAAAACGGAAAAACATACCCCTATTCACCATGTCCGTCACGCGCACCCGGACCATGCGCTGCTGCAGCCGAGTGTCGCCGATGGGATACACGGGGCGCCCACGGCAGAACACGACCTTTTCTTCGACGTAGGGCTTCAGCTTGGGGCGCTTGTAGATGGGGTCTGTGGTCAGGTCCTGGACGTTCGGATCGTACACGGCGAGCGGGTCGGCGAACTCGTCGTTGGCGACGGCGCTCTCGGCCTCGGCAGTGAGGTGGCCGACGCCGAGAGGCCAGCGGTTGACGGACCAGAACTGCCGCGGCTTTCGGCCTTTGGCTAGGGGCACGGCCGCCCAGTCCCAGTTGTAGTCGCGCACGAGCGTCACGCGCGTCTTGCCTGTTTTGCGGTCGACGCCGTGCTGCTCGCGGCCGGGCGCCAGCATGGTCTCGTTGGCGCTGATCTCGTCTATGACGTGGTCGCGGACGATGGAGAGCGCGTCATCGGTGGACATGGCACCATCCTGGGGGTGCTCTTTGGCGTTTTTGGCCGACGCACCAGGGTCGGCGCGGAACACCAGCTCGCGCACGTGGTGCAGCTGGCCCGTCTGCTCGAGGGCAAAGCACTCGCGCTCCCACTTGTCGATGGACTCGCGCAGAAACACGGTTGGCGTGGGCTGCACGGTGGACGCCTGGTCTGCCATGTCCTGCTCCAGCTTGGAGATGGTGTACCCAAGGCGGTAGGCTAGGGAGGCGAAGAAGTTCCAGATAGCGCTGTTCTGGTCCACGTCGGGCCGTCTGCCGCCAGTGACTATGGGCTCCCATTCCGAGATGTGTCCTAGAGCGGATGGGCGCTCGCGCTGCTCCTCGGGCAGCGGCCAGATGACGCGGTGTTCTGGGAAGAAATTGGGAACCGGGCGCTCGACAACACCGTAGCACGAGAGGTCTAACTGGAATCTACACCAAGGAACGAATTAGTACGTATATGAATGCAGCGACAAACTCCATCGCCTCACCTGACATGTCCGCTGCGTTTCATCCTGTCGAGCCAGGCGCAGGTGTCGTATGGCTCAAACTCGCATCTCTCGACGGCAGTGGTACCGCATCCAGCATTGATGGCCTCCAGCAGCTGCTCGACCGTGACGCTTCTGTGGAGGTTAAAAAGACTCTCGGGATTCGGGTCGTCCAGTAACTTCTGTACACGGCGGGCGAAGATGAGGAAGAGCTTGTACTTGTCCCTGGGCCAGTCTGGGTCAAAGTGGCCCCTCCAGGTCCCGCTGTTGACGCTCTCGCTGCCGGCGACAAACTTGACCCAGCCCACATCCTCGTGGCTGAGTAATAGGGTGCGGCGCTGTATGCCATCAGCCAGGAACTCGTCATTCGCCAGCCTTACCTCGGGCGGCACTTGGTTTCTGCTGAACTCGCCAGCGACGCCGCGTTCCGCCAGACGCAGCATAGCTTCTAGAAGCGGCCGCGGCGTGCGCTGGGTGGCCGCGCGCAGGACCTTGAGCGCCGTGTAGCAGTGACGCAGCAAATCTTGGCGCTCGAGCACGTCGGGGTCGATCATGCGCCAGACATAGGGGCCGCCGTTGAGCACGTTCTTGGGCAGAGAGACCCAGCGACGGTCGCGTGAGTTCTCGTCCATGACCTTCAGCAGCGCCAGTGTGCGCATCTGCTTGAGTTGCTTGTTGTAGTCCCTCAAGAAGACGGTGTAGGGCATGGTCTCGATGGGCTGGCGCATATACACCGGGGGAACGGCCCGGGGCGGCACCCACTGCACGCCGCCGACGCGCTCTCTCAGCTTGCGCAGCGTAGCCGCATCGACTGGCAGCACGATTTTGCGCCAGGGAGTGTCCACCCACACATGTATGTTCGTTGGATATGACCGCAGCATCTGCTGCAGTCCAGCACGGCGGGCAGCGCGCTCCTTGGCCCAGCTCCGCGGCTCCCCCGGGACGACCAGCGAGTCGTCAGGGAGCAGTGTTCCACCCGTGCGTCGGTCTCGACGAACCCACCCGACGTGGCTCGGGTCCGAGAAGACCTCGAAATACTTTGCCTCGACGTAGGCCAGGTTGTACTTCTCGTCGTCGAGAGCTTCCTCAGACCCGCCAGTGTCGCGTTCCCACCAGCGCTGCTGATCTCGCAGGAGCGTTTCATACCTGGACCTGCCCTCTGGGCTATCAATGAGCATCCTGTTGACGGGCTCCGGGTGGCGCGGGTGGATTGGCCGCGGGAGAAGATCGTCTCGGCTTGGCACGGGGCTCCTCGACGGCAGCGGCCAGTCGTGCACGTTCGCCATCCACTTCAAGCGCGTCGACTTCAGGGGCACCTTGGGCGGCGGGTTGATCTCCAGCGGCGTGGGATCATAGTGGTGCTGCTGGAAGAGCACATGGACCCTGCACCTTTCGAACGCATCATGATATAGGGCCTGCGTCTCGGGCGTGGCATTTTCAAGCTGGTGTCTCTCATCCCCGCTGGCAAGCCACTGGAGATACGACACAATCTCGGAAAACTTGACCTCCCAGTCTTTGCAGCGGTCCACATCCTCGTCGCTGAGGAAGTTGGTGATGGTCTTGAGGCGTAATGCCAAAGGCGGCTGTGTCCCGCCTTTGTAGGCCGAGGTTTCCGTCCAGTCCGCCGTGCCGAGGTCTCTGATTTCTGAAACCCCTACGGCTGTGCCTGTCTCCCACGGCCCCGAAGAAGTGCGAGAGGAAATGATAGACGGGAGGGAGTCGATCCGTCTGCGGAGATTATTGAGCCTCACGGTGGGGGAGGCGTCGGCAGTATCTTCGACGACGGGCTGGGGGCTGGCTCTGGCTGGCTCCGGCGAATGCTCCGGCGGATGTTCCTCAGCCGGCACTGCCGCAACGTCTTCTTCTTCGTCTTCGTCAAGCCTGATATCGGCAGTGACGACCGGGGCATCGATATCGGGATCCAGCTCGTCAACTCCGACAAAGGTAGTCTCTGGAGCCCAAGGCAAAAGCGGCCTGTATTGCGGCGGAATCGAGGCAGTGGGCAACGAAGGCCGTCTCCCGTCCAGGGGAAAGAGAAAGTCATACAGCCTGTACTTGCTAAGCTCGCCGAGAAGCCTCTTGCGGATGGGGTAATGCTTGATCTCCCAGTCCCTCAGATACCAATCAAGCACCGAGGGATCTCCTCGGTCAACGGCTTCCTTCAACACCACATCGGTGAGGTAGTCACTGAGCAGCGGCGGACATTCCTCGTCATTGGCGGCGTAGTCAATGAGAAACTTGACCAAGTGGCCTTGGAAACCGTGAGCAATAGCTTAGAATTTCATGCTCCGGGCAGAATAACATACCATCTGCTTCCTTCCTCTTCGACACAAAACGACCTGGGTCAGAAAGAGCGCTTCTGGGCGTCGTCGCGCTGGAATGGTCAGATCCCCTCAGACGGCGACGGCCCCATGAGCTCATGAGCGCTGTCGCATTGGTGTCTGACCCCACGGAGGACCCTGAATAGGGCTCGTCGTCGGGGATGCCAGACATATTTCCCGCCTGCGAATCTCTTTCAGTAAGAGCAGCTCACAGTTGACTTTCAAGTAGTTAAGAATTAGGCTACCGTTGAATAATTGAAGTCACGAAGCCGGGACTGCGTGAGACAAGTGATGCAGGAGTGTGTGCAGAGTTGACACAGAAAGAATAGGGCGCAGACAACCATCATACTCCCCAGATTTGTCGCATATTTGTGTCTTGTAGCTCCCGCTCACTGGAATGTGGGTGCTTCGCAAGGTGGGTGCTTCGCAAGGTGGCTGCCCTCTTTGCATTCCAGGGGCTGGAGGGCCTAACGAGAATGATCTCAGACCATAGTGTCAGCTCGAAACAAAAGAAATGGTGACTTGTTGTGAAGCCTCGCGGCTGCCGTTTTCAGCATGTCTGTCCGGAAGTGAGTCGAAGACAAAGAAACCCACAGTCGCCGTGAGACGAGATGAAGGCCGGACAAGTTCAAAGTTCTTGCGGTGCTTTGTTGTCATCCAGCACAAAGAACACGATCGCAGAAGAATATATCTAAGCTCCACAAGAGAGTGAGCGTAGAATAACATGGTAATACAAGCGTCTTTTCGACAGCAGGTCGCAATGTCAACAAAAGCAAGCGCCCCACGAGAGGCAGGTCACATCTCCGGCCGTCAAGTGGGAAGTCCAGCTCGCCGTGAGAGACGTCAGTCAACTTCTAGACGCGGTGCGCAGAATGTGAACAATTTCGATCTCAATCGTGCTTACCGCATCACTAAGCCTGGAGCTCATCCCGAGCCCCGGACACCAAGGACTCGCAGTATGACGAGGGGGGCCGAGCTCGAGGCCGAACTTGAGACCCAGACTAATACGCAGAACATGTCTCCGATTTCAGAGATAGATGAGAGCAGCTCCGACGGCGAGTCAGATGCTTCAGTGCGTGATTGGCAACCGTCCATTGTAATAGGTGCTCCTCTCTCGCTCGAGGGCGAGGACTTGAGCCGAATACAGCTCGCGGATAGGCATGTATCCCAGTGTCGTGCGTGGGTGAAACACTACGGGGAGGTAGCAGACTTTCCCCAACTCCTCGAGAAGGCCGAGGCCGAGAGAGCCAAGCTTGATGTTAACGACGAGGAGAATACCAAACCATTGTGAGTGCTAGAGTCCCGGCCAAACACACATTAAAAGACGAGCAGCTAGGCTGATATAACTCACATGACAGATCAACTCTTACCTCGACACATACAGAAGCCATCGAGAGGCGAGTGAACCTTCTCCGCTCCGTGCTCAGGAACTCGAAATTCCCCCCAGAGCGGGCGAACATCGAAGCAGCCATCGCAGGGTACGAGTCAGGCTCAGGCGCCATCCCCTACTCGGGACAGTATACGCTCATCTGGGCAGGACGAATCGTCGACCAGTGTCCCGACTACAAAACCTTCTCGAGGGACCGTAGTGTGCGACTTGACCGATACCTTGCTGAGTACGGCGAGGGCTGGCTGTGGTATGAACCGCCCCTGACAGAAGATGGAGGGCCTCAGGGGCCGTCGCCCACCGCCAAAAAGGCCATTTGCCTCAACGGCCAGAGTCTCATATCCACCGACATGGATAGCATGGGCTACTACACAGCCACACTGGGGTTTCGACGGCGGAAAGACTTAGTGATGAGAGAGGCTCCGCACACAAGGAGCAACTCGGTCGCGGCGACGGTCAATTCCGCCACCATCGTGCCCGATCCAGCCACGCCGACGACGTCTAATGCAAAGCCACGAGCAAGACGAAAAAGACCGGCAATGCCCGACTCTGACCCTGACAAGGACGGCCCGCGCGTGTACTGGAACACGCTGCTTGACAGCGGCGCCACGCAACCCTGTCTTTACAGTCCTGACCTAGTCAAGCTGCGCATCGACCCAGACAAGTACGCGGCACAGAGCGCGCGCATCATCGCCACGGCCACGACAGAGGAGGAGCTGAAAGTGTTTGAGCTGGACGTGGGCGTCTTCGGCGGCGACTTTTCGACCATGGTGACGTCGGAGCCGCGCATCTGGCCAGCCGAGCCCGACATCCTAGGCGGCACGCTGCCCGTCATCATCCTGCCGGGGACGGCAGGCGACGAGCCCGGCGCGCAGCCCAAGAAGGGGACGCTCCGAGAAGCGCCAAAGCGGCTGAGCGGAATCCTGCCCTTCCACGTGTGCTACGTGTCGAGCGCGCCCGGGAACCGGAAGCTGTGGCTGGGCGAGGACCGGCGCGACGTGCTGGGGTCTGGGCGCATGCCGGGCCAGAGGCGAGTCCACTGGTTCAGCGAGGCTGACTACGGCGACGAATCCAACGACCGGTCGCGTTGGCGGCCCAAGCAGGATCTGGTGCCCGAGCAGCCCAAGTGGCTGGAACGGAGCCTGCGCAAGGCCAGGTCGCCCAGGCGCGTAGTCTTCGAGCACGACATTGACGACGGCTCGGAGCGGGTTCTGCGCGAGGAGGATGACGGGGTCAGGAGCATCATCACGAGGCTGCCGGCTGGGTCGGCCTTGAGCGGGTCGGACCCCGCCGCCGCCAAGGGCGTCAAGGGCGTCAAGGGCGTCAAGATTTTCATCATGGAGCCGCGGACGAGACTAGACCAGCAGGCCGCATTGGAGAGCCGCCGTCTTCGAGACTCATAGAAAAGCATACGGAGAGGCCAAGACGGGGAAAAAGAGACAAAAATAAAATAAGAAGGAATATGCAGATTACCACTAACAACCTGGAAAGGCTCTCACTGGGTTCGCAGTGAGGGAAGGGAGGCCTTTTCCACGAGCTGCTTCCCGTCCTTAAACTGGCCGAGAAAGCATGAAAATGTGAGAGATTGGAAAAGTTTAATTAGCAACTAACAGCAATGGGAGGTCTCACCTGGCCACCCGATACAAGTTCCAGCAAGGCGGGCAGTAGCGACACACATGATGACACTCCATGGTGTAGCCGTGCCTGCCACATTCAAATTCGAGGCCAAACTTGGATAGGTAGGGACGGGACAGACCTGGACGCAATTGAGTGGCAGAGACACTGGAGCTTCAGGTTGCGCATGAATGGCAATTAGCCTACCCGCCAATGGCACATCAAGATATCTCATTGGGCGCTTGCATATAAATCTTCTCTCCTCGGGCCCGATTCACACAATGTCACTACAAAGCACACCAATATCACGGTTCGCAGTATACGTGACAAGATGCCAGAGATTTTACTTCTTTTTTGTCTGTTTACAGCTATCTATTTACGGCGCCGCGCTGAACAAACAGGCACTGACAAAACAAGGGGGCTAGCCAAGACTTCCCCCTGACAATATATTAGGTGTCTTAAGCAGGTTCAAAGCATGGCTAGTCGCTCCCCCGTCCGTCGCCTCATGATCAAAATCATGGATGCTCGTTCCAAGGTATCATCACCCCCTCAAGGATGCCCGTTCCCCGCCCTTATCAGAAAGGGGATACCATCCCTAGGATGACTTCCCCCCAGTCGACAATGCGGTTCACCGTCCGCAGGCTGCAGATATCATCTGTGTACAGAGTCCGTCGTGGTTTAGGGGGCTAGTGGTGTGCGATGCTGGGAGTTTTGCAGTGTAGAGGGGTTTTGTTGTCCATCGGCCGAGCGAGGACCCCGTCTCTGGTTCTTCACCGTCCTGGTCCGTCCTTCCTCGGATTCCCCGAGAATCCTCCATCTCACCCGAGAACTCGTCTGTCCCGCGTAAATTTTGCCAATCTTTCGCGTCCTCTTGACTCTTCCACAATTATCTTGTCTCTCGTCTCCAGTCCTCACGGGGCTCACCAGGGAACCTTTGGGACTCCTTTTGGTCGCGTCTCTCTCATGACGCGATCGAGGCTCGGTGCCTGTCGTGGAATAATAAAAAATCCGCACCTCATTTTTTGTGTTGCTTTTCGTTTTGGTATTAACGTGGCTGCCGAGAACCAAGGGGGTATTTGCGTGCATGTTGTTCTGATTTAATAGAGAACAAGGGTTGCAAGCAGATATGCAGCCGTGGCAGCACATCTGTGAGCGAAAAAGAAAAAAGAAAAAAAAGTCAAAATTCACAGAATCGCTGATGCATGACGCTAAAATGGCCCCGAATAAATAACCGAGAAAGGAAAATGGCCGATTCGTTACAATCTTTTTGTCTTCCATATAATCAGAATTCCAACACGAAACGGAACTCTTCCGCCTGGGCCGAGGGGGCCAAGGGGTGGAGTAGATCCGAAATAGTCGTCGACTCAACGACGGAACAGGCGATGACGTCGTCGATCGCCCCTTCAATACCGCATATGTATTGAGCTACCCTCAAAGTATGATGGTTGCGCTGTATGCTGCTGGGGATATGTCGGCATGTGGTGGTTTGGTTGTGGGGTTGGGGTGAGAGGGCACCGCGGAGGTATTTGGAAGTCCTTGACCATCCCACTGTTTTGTACAAAGCAAGGGCCGTCGGGCGTGATGGGTGGGGTCATATACCCGTCGGCCACGCCGGGGACGGCACCGAGGCCCTTGTGAGGAGTGCTGTATACATTGGCCGGCTTGCTGGCGAGGGCCGGTTCGCAGGGCGGAGAAGGAGGGGCCCCTCGTCGGGCGATGGCAGCCTGTTGCGCCAGGAAATCGGCAAGCTTCCCCGATACCCTCGAGTAGTACTGGCTGGAATACTTTCTCGACAGTGTCACCGATGGCTGGTGGAGGTGTTGAGACAAAGTCAACAGAGTCACGTTCTCCACGTGGTCCCACTCTCCGTCGTTCACGTCGGGCTTGCCAAGAATCGCCCTCGCCAGTGCCAATGAGGATCTCGCCATGATCGATGGCTTCGTAGAAACAAAGTCTCGGTGGTAGAGGGCGATCTCGCAGATGTATGCCGCCATATGCTCAACTTCTCTGCTGTCCCGTTCCTCGGCGATGAGTAATTGCGCGAAAAAGTCGACCGTTGGGTGGCCGATGTTCCAGTCGAGAGTGTTGAGAACGTGCATCTCCATTTGCGTGAACATGCCTGCATCGTAGAGGCCGCAGCACATGTTGTTGAGTTCGTTGATCTGTGGCACTCGGTCCTTCTTGTCTCCATACTTTGAAGCAATGAGAAGCGCAGCACAGCCGACCAGCTGGTAGTGTTGCTTATACACCACACGCTTCGAACAGTACCGGTCCAGGAGATTCACAGTCAGGAACAGCGTTTCGGGGAGCAGAGAAAAAGCGGCATGGGCCTCAATCAGGAAGTCGATGAGGTACGGTCGCATAAACCATTGGATCTCACGCTGCATATCAATGAGGTTGGCGTCTGGTAATGTCTCGTCCTAGTTCCCCAGTTAGCTTCTCACCACACCTGAGCCTGCCATGACGGTGTGGTCCATACCTCCATGTGACGCATGTGTTGCATGATGTCCTCGAGATACTCATCACCAGCGAGTCTAGAGAGCTCGTTGGCGATCATCTCTTGCTTGTTGCGTGCAAGCATCTTGGCAGCATCGCGAATGTTCATGCGATGGCATGGCTGGTCATCGGACTCGACGAAGAAGGTATCGTCAGAGGCGTGATTTGAATAGGCCATCTTCGCAACAGAATGACGACCGGGCGGGTCTGTATTCTGGGGATATTTTACAGGTGTGCAGGCAGTGGGGGTTGTTGTGTCTTAAGGAACGACCAATTTTTTTTCCGAGTTCTCCTGGAATCGATGTGATGGTGCCGACAGCTATAGAGAGCGTCGGGTTGGATGTATTAAAACCGGTCGGTCGAGTCAAGGAGTGAGACGTCGCCCCAGTATAAAGACTAGTATTAGATTATTAAAGAGTGTGATGAATACCAAGTTATCAAAAGGAGTGACTGTGGCTGGAAAAGTCGCCAAAAGGATGTGAAAGAAGAATCAGGTCCTCGCAGGGGAGAAGCTGGTGTGTGGCCGGGGAAACGACCTGGTTAAGGAGGACGCCGACGGGTAAGAATGCTTCTAGATATTCAGAATCAGCACGACTCAGATCTCAGTCTAGCTTGACTTTAGCATCACTCCTCGACTCGGCAGCACAGCGCGGGCCAGTGCCCCTAGCTCCACTTTGGCTAGCAGCTCATGTGCAGCCCTGACCGTGATTCGGCCGATCTGCCCTTGTGGGGACGAGATCCGGCACAGGCCGGGTCTCAAAAGAGCGTAAAGGGGCAGGAAACTCAGGTACGCGGCACACGAGAATAGGATCCCTTACCGCCACGATTGCTGGTCTAAAAGAACCGACAAAAATAATGACAAAGGTTCCTGAGGTCGGTGGTGGGAGAAACGAGCTAACGTGTCCCACAGCGAGCCGCCTTCAGGTCGACGGATAGATCAGACGCGATCGTGGATGATGCCGTTGGATTGCAGGGCGCAATCGACTCGGCATGTATCTGCAAGGGCGGGCACGGCACATTTTAGAATTTTTTTCCTCGTCTGAACAGCAATGACAATGACATCAGGGAGCGGCAAGGTGGACGGTTGTGGATGGAAAGGGGCAGGTGGGGCGGGCGGTTTCTTTTCCTGCATACCTCACTCTCAACGCCGGGGGGGAAAGGCCAGAAAAGGCTGCGCACCGTTCGAGCTCATGTAGGGACCGCGTCACTCTCGTGGGCCGTCGAAAGGCGGTTTTTGTGGTTCTTGATAGGAAGATGCCCCTCTCGACACTCCCAAATCTTGCAGTTGCGGCCTGCTCGGTCGGCGGGTCTCGCGGGATCGATGGAGGAATGGGCCGTCGAGGGCGCCGCGGAACGAAGGGAGGCGGACGGGAATTGGAGGATTCCTCGTCGTCGAACCTGGAATGTCCTTCGGGGGAGAATACCAGTCGACAGTGGTGCAGAGAGTTTGTAAAACTGTTGGCGGCGCTAGGAATAGAAACGTTTCTTGGATTTAGGTTTTCTATTCCAGGTCGTCGTCAGGGCGCTCTTGCACGCACACCAGTCCGGCCGTGTCCTTATAAAGGGCTGGGGAGCTTGTCGATAGCCCAGACTTTAGATGTCCTCATTCCCTCCTTTTCTCGAGCGGAGAAACCGAGTCCAAGAGGGATGTTGGAAGGCACGGTGCGGGAGAGGGAATGACTGGTTGCGGATGGAGGAAAGAGGGGGGGAGAGGAAGGGGGAGAGGAGGTAGATATTTGGTGAGGTAGGAGGAGGATGGAGGAGAAGAAAAGGGAGTGGAAGAGAAAGCAAGAGATTGGTTAACGGCCGATTTAAGACAGGGCCCCCAGCTTGCTCACCAAGGCGCTGCTGAGCACCAGCACCAAAGAGCTTGCAGCATTGGCCTTGTATTGAGGTACCTGCCCTGGCCCGGCCGCAGGAGCGCGCACCTGGGGAGTGGTAGGAGCGCCAGGGCAGGGACGAGCCAGGGCAAGGCAGGGCAGGTGGAGTACCGCACCTTCTCGAACAGCCCAGCGCCGCCAAGACACGAACCTGGGTCGCCCGTGCAAGTGGAAGGTGCGAGGTGCATGGTCCTTCCGTCCCTCGTTGTGCAAGGAAGCTTCAGCGGGCGAAAAATAAAATAAAACCCATCCGAGGGGCCGCTCCGAATCCAGCCAAGCAGCGCAAAGCTACTAACCCAGAAGGTACCGCAAACTGCACCATTCAATTCATTGCACCGCACCCAGTCGTGGCTCTGTATTCCCGTCACTGCCAGACGCAACGACGGGGGCGGCCCAAAAGGCAGGCCCACACCTTGTACATGGAAGGTAAGATATGTATGCTCGTATAGTTTTACCGTATTACCGTATTTGCGGCCATTTGGAAGGCGGGTTTATGGTATGGACGTCCATCACAACTGGAAGGCACGGGAAATACGGAGTACGAATATACACAGTACATGCTCTTCCGTCTGGAAAGACTCAAGAGCTACCCTAATATCCAGCGAATCCTCGAAGCCAGACAATGCGCGTGCGAGACGGCTGGCGGGGTATGGCCGTCCACCACCAAACTTTGCGACGCCGCGCGAGGTTGTACTCTCAGATCCATCGACACCATGGACACCATTGTTGGTACCCGAGTCGGCGCCGCGAGGTGGGATGCGGAGGTCACACCCTGGCCAGGCACGGCGACGAGGCTTGCCCTGATGGTTGTTGTTTGGGGGGAAGACCGCGATGTGGTGGGCGAGCCTGCAATTGTGTGGATTCGCTGCTCGGCTGGGAAATTCAGGCCGGGCGGATGAGAGCAGGGATCAACGGGAACTTCGCGGGCACCTCGTCTCGTCACCTCTGGCTCCAACCTAAGGGGGTTGCTAAGTAACTTACCACTGAGGGGCCGAGATTAATAAGAGCTCCAGTCGTAGACTCGCAGCAGAGACAACAGACCAAACTGCAGGGAAGGCTTATTCCCAAACCCAGTAGATAGTGCTGTATGTATGTGTTTATTGCGTGTATTGTATAAATGATATCAGCAAAGATATCGTGTGACACTACGGATAGGTGTCCGTAACAACCTAAAGCGTTGCACTCCGACGGCGTCACTGGCGTTGCACATCGATATTTCGTATGGAGAAGATACCTGGCCTAGTGTAGGTTAGCTGTGGATTGTATATACACCGTTTATGGAGTACGGATTCATGAGGCTGTTGCCCAAAGCCGTAGCAGTGGGCGACAGACTTCAGGTCCAGTGCGAACGTTTCTTTCCTTGCGGGTTCCCAGAGTGTGTTTGTGCGCTCCTCAATTGGCTTGTCAATCTACGTATAATATTTGCTACCTGCCCGAATCCCGTATCCAGAGCTGCAAGCCGGGACAGGCCACGGCGCCTCACAGATTGGCTGCATCAGCAGGAGACAAAGGGAAGAAGGCAGGCAAGCCTCCCGTCGTCTTTTCTTGTGTCGATCCCAGCAGCGCACTCTGCACTTTGCACTTACAGCAGGTACGTGGTATCCGTATGTATGTTACATACATGCATACATACAGCACTTGTGTACCTTATCTTAGGTAAAGGGACCACACTTCGCCTTACCTTCAATGCCTTTCTCAATTTCGGCTTCACAGAACAACCGCAAATGTTGATTGAACTCTGTTGTTGTTGTACACGCGGTACCTACCTAGACACTTCCTTGGGACCTTTCTCGACACATCGCGTCTCCCCTGGAGGATATCACAAAGTCGCGGATGGCCACCGCAGGCCGTCTTGGAGTGAGTATTTGTTTTTGCTTTGGATCCATAGTATAGATCTGTTTGTTTGTTTGTCGTTAGATGGGCCATCTGCCAGGCCCAGGCCCGGGCCTCAGCTTTGGGCCGCCCGTTCTGCTGTTGATTTTAGCGTCAAAGTCTACAGCATCGTGGCGTACATAGGAACTAAACTCTGTCACGCGAGGCTTGTTGCTTATTTTGTCTCTTCTTTATTCCACAACAACCTGAGACAATTGGGTCGCCAACCAAGGTGAGCCTGCACCCGAGGCATCCCGTGCTACTGCGCAGTTTATGTAGGCATGGATGCTTTGTCGCAAGACCTTGAAAAGTGGAGGTTGAAGGTGTGGCATAAGGCGAGCTGCATGTAATATAATATTTGCAGATTAGTCTATGTACCTTCCATGATTTCTGACCACAAGAGAAGCAGTCACCTTGCATGCCTTACACAGTATGGGATAACAAAACACCTTACCCTAGGTATTCCGTTCGCGGGTTCGCGCTGTTTCTGCGTAACGGCCGTGTTCGTAGTGTCCAGTGCCTCTCGCCTGTCCCATGCCCTCTGCATTAGGGGACATAGAACTGGATTCACAATTCAGCGCTCCTGCTTACCCCCACTGCGTCAAGATCCAACTTGTCTCAGAAACCACTAAATGCCAGGTAAATGGTGGTGCTTCTAAGCCAAGTCAAGGTTTTTGTGTGCCTGGGGCAGGAAGAGTTTTGCCAGAAAAACTTACATCAGGTAATTCGTACCCACCACATTGCATGTAATGCGAGAACATTTTGACTTTTCAACTGGAGCACTAAACAGTCGGAAACTTTCGAATTGCCATGCGTCAACCTAAGGTAATGCCCCGCTCGGCAACACCTGGGGAAGGTTCCCAGCAGGCTCTGCACAGAATACAGAGCAGTAAGGCCTCATGGTAGGCGGGCAGTAAGATACTGTACAGACATTCAAAGTCCGATAACTCACTGGACAGTCCAGTCAACGGGTTGGAATCTGGATATGCCGCCAAAGACACGCTCTTCAATTAGCACGCAGAGTGCAACACGGTTCTTTCGCGAGGCCGATATCCATAACTTGCTCCGGCGGACGTGCTTACCACTTTATCAGCCGCTAATGCGGGCCCGTCACGCCTCTTGATCCTTCCACCGCCCAACGCCATCGAGCGCGATACATGCCACCAATTCCAAGGTTTGTCCATAGTGAGGGACGTCTTACTGGGTGCTGCGCATATCATTAAGGCTTGGCGCGTCCGCGTTTAATAGGTTGCGGCTGGAGCCAGTCAGGAGAGGGCCGCTCGGGGAGGCTGGCAGCTGCGGGGCATTGGACGCCGCCCACCTTGGAACCGACAGCAGCTCGCAATGTCGCCAATTCAAGACGCAACTTACGCTCTAGCCAGCCAGCTGGACGGGTCAAGGGGTGAGAGTTCAGGTTGGTAAACCA